ATGGTTGGAGGGTTTTTCAGAATTTCTTATGATCTTGTAAAGTACAGAAAATGATTAATGGGAATGTCCATGTGCAAGAAAGGAGAAGTGACTTTTTTTTTTCCTCAAACGTATAGCAGCTCTGTTTTAGGTCACTTGTCAGGCCTGCCTCTATTGATGTTGCTTGAACCCTGTGATCATGGTCATGTTTCGGTTCATTTCAGCACTGAGTGCCACACTGGCCTGTGATTTACAAATATTGTGCTCAATCTTTAGGCTTAACCTCATTTCCTCCAGCCTTCTTTAATGCCGTCTCTGGAGTTGGTCATGTGATTGTGTCTAGCAGTGTCCACCATTACCCCTGTGCCATTTTGAGCATTTAATGGACCCGTGTGTAGTAGAGTTCAGCTATCAATAGGACAGCTGCAGTGGACTTTTGGGCAGCAGGTGATCTGGTCACATGTTCTCTGTGTATGTGCATACATGAGTGTGCTGTGTGTATGTGCATGTGTTTGCTGTATTTAGCTTATCCTGATGAGGCCCACTACCGCCCCGGGGGGGATGTTCTTGATCCAATAGCTAGTTACAGTGTTAGGTATTTTTAGTCAGATAGAAATTGGATAGATACTTTATGTATTAGAAATGTTTAGTGGAGATAGGATGTCTAGTTAGACTGTTAAATGCTGAGTCATGCTTATGAGTTTCTACAGGGTACATCTGGTCAAGGATACTAGAGAGAAGAGTTGATGACTGTCAGCAGACAGGGTGTTTAATATTATTATTACGACGTGTATAACTGTAGCCTTAGCCATAATATGTTCTTATGTTTAAGTCACGACATGTACTAGATTTAGCTACACACCACTTAATCAACAGACACACACACATTGATTTACTTCATGTTTTGAATACTGCTATGGCCAGCTGCAAAGCTGGCACCAGAGACGTCTCGGTTGACGTTTCTGTGTAGTATGGGGCTAGCCCAACCGAAGAGATATAATGTATAGGCCTGGTGGGTTAGGGGTTTTTCATCTTCCAGCTGCCTGCGAGCAGTTTGGAGGTACAAGATGCCTGAGTGTGTAATGTTAATTTTTACCTGTGTTCATGGAATAAATCAGCAGTTTTGTAGTTACTTGGACTGCCTTGTCTCTCAGAGTCAGTATGGTAAAAAGTACTGGGTACAACAACAGATATAGACATGGACCCAGTCACTGCACTCACTTTTCTTCTTGCTGTTTAGAGTTGATCCTGTAGAGTTATCTCCCCATGTGCTAACCAAAGTGCTCAGCATTGTCATATTTCATTGTCTAATATTAACACAGTTTTAATGGGTTATCCCATAACTGCATTCAATGGCACGTCAGGAAATCACAGAGCAGAAGAACAGAGAGGAGAATGCCTTGTGGGGCTTGTTAAGTGGAAATTAATGGTGCCATTTGTACACATGAAATGTTTTGCTTTCATAATCTCCATAATTCATTTATTTGATAAGGGCTTTTCATTCTAAGTGCTGTTGCAAAAGTGTTCTTGTGACTCTCACATCAAGGGTTCCAGAGATTTTGGAAATCATCGAAGGTTTAATGCTGCTAGGATACGAATAAACAAATCTTGTCATCTACCAAAAAAATGCTGCTTCTGACTTGCCCTCATGCGGTGGCAACAAGTTAAAACTCGCTGTGAAATTAAATGTTTTTTAGTCTGTGTTTTCTCTGTGTGTGTGTGTGTGCGTGTGTGTCATCAGGAGCATTCCTCACATTCCACCTGTTTGTATCGTAGCTACACAACTGCTAATTAAATTTCCTGCCACAAACAGCAGACAAGGCAGTGACATTTGCATTACAATGACTGACCCCCTCCCTCTCTCTTTTAGGCAGGGATCGTGGCAGCCCCCATCCTCTCTTCTGTTTTTCTTTCTTGTATAGAGTTTTAGTCTGGTTTATTAAAGAGATGTTTATTTGTCTTAAAAGAAGAACCTCTGTCAGTGTAAACCTGCTACAAGGTAATTAATTACCAGAACCAAGACTAGGCTTTTAGTGGAGTGAGATTTGGTCAGATTTGCAAAAGATTAGACATTTTTAGATTGTTTAAAGTTAAAAATGTATTTTTGTGTGTATGTCCAGCATTGCTTTTCAGAAGCTCTTTAATGAGGCATGTTGGTGTGGAGCAATGGCAGATGTCATTTTTACAGGTGGAAACAGCTTTGTTTATGCTACATAGTGGATGTCTTTAAACATTCTGAAGTAAACTAGCACTGCATGCTAATCACTTTCATTTAAGAATTAACAGCCTTTGTATTGCTGGACTGTTCAGTGTTGTAAATTGTAGACAGGGTAGTAGATCTGACAGCAAATTGTTGCCATTGATAAAACATCCATGCCTCAAACCAATTTCATTTCCAACCCTGTAAAAGTTAGAATTTGGATCACAAAAGTTTCAGTCTTATAGGCTTTTAGTAGAATGCAAGGCAAAACTTCAACAAGGTTTAAAAAAAAAAGGCACCTCTATGTAGACCTGTAGAGTATGTTAGCTTTATCCTATGGTGATTTGCTGTATTTGTATATGTTATAGGATTGTCATCTTGACTGAAATCACCATGCAGGAGCATTAGTTAAATCCTTAAGTCATGGTTCAGATTTAGAAATGAGAGTGAATATTATTTTCTAAATTAGCATGACTACTGCTGAAATTGTGTAAGTAATCATTTATGAACAACATATCACTGTGGGCTGGAAAAGATATAAAATCCAGATAATCTCTGTAATATCTTTTACAGGAATCACTTGTTCGGAATCAATATGTGGAGTCCACTCCTGTCAGGCTGCTAAGATGGTTGGTGCGTAGCTGCCACCTGGATCTGATGTATGAAAAACA